TGAGGGCTTGATCGGTTTCCACCCTCAGGCCGCAGCCGTCTGAGGTCGGCTGTGTTCCGCTCAGGCTAGAGGGCTCCTGGGGGCGGGCCTTGCCTCTCTTAGGCTGAGGCAGTGGCCCTCTTTAGAACTAGTTGGAATTTCCCGACCCATCCTTGCCACCGAAGCAACGCCAGTTCCTCGCCTGCGCGCTGCGATTAGAATCTGGAATGACCAGCTTTGTTTCCATCTTCTCCATAAGGCGGTGTCGCGCTTCAGCTGCAGCCTCCGTCTGGGCAGAGCTGACACCACCACCGCCGTCCCTTCTCCCTCGCCCTGCAGCAGCTCACAGGAGCCCCAGGAAGCTGTCAGGTGTGGTGTTCTTCGGGAAGAAGTCGGCTTGTCCTTCACACCGGCTTGGTGGCCCACCCTCTCGAAGCTGCATCCTCCCATGGCAGTCTCCGGGGAGGTCTGGGACCTGTGGTCCCAAAGCTGGCCTCTGATAGGTGCGATCTATATAGAAGCACTTTGGGTCACTCAAATATCAGGCTGGCAACCTCCCTGGCCAATCACTCCATCACCCCAGCATCCTTGGTCATGGCTACCATAGCTTGGGTATGGCCCTTTACAGAAACTAGAGTCTAGGGTGCAAGCCTCTTGCCCACACTACTGGGAACAAAGGAGGGGCTCCTTGAGTTTCTCCCCCAAACAAGAGTCGTCTTGTTAGGAAACTAGATGAAGGAGTGACGATGACAGTGGCATGCTGCCGAGACCGGGCTTTTCCACCTCCTCTGGAAAACCTTTACCTCAGGCTTCCTGGCTCTCCTGGTATGGTCTAAGGCCCACAGTGCTACCTGGAGAGAGTGTTAAGATGCAAGTTCCAGGTCTCTGCATCAGACCAACAGAATCAGAATCTCTGGGTGTAGAATCTGAGAATCTGCATATTTACAAGATTCCCAGGGGATTTTTCTGCACAGGAAAGTTTGAGGACCTCTGCATAAGCTCTTGCAGGTCATCTCAGATAAGTACTCACCTGATCTCCTCCTCTAGATTATAAGCTCTTGGAGAGCAGAGATGTATTTTGTGCTTCTGTTGCATTTTAGTTCAGCTCTGAGTGCCTACTGGGCACTTAATTAAATACTTGTCAACTGAATTGAAATAAAGAAGCACACAAATATCAGGCTGGTCATTCAATCAGATGAGAGTAAATTAGGTAGGTGCAGTTCACAGGAGTTTCTCACTGGGGCATCTCAGTTGTGTTACAGTTTTAAACTGCCTGTGCACAGATGAATAAATCTTTTATTTGAGGGCAAAATATTTATGCTTTTAAAAAGTATCTTACACGTCCTTCTTGTTCCCTTTAATACAAAGTACATTGTAAATTCTCAATAAACACAGATTTGCAAATTGGATCCAGATACGTATACATTTTACCAAAAGTTTTGTGCCAGATTTCCTTTAAATTAAAGCTTTCCCATCATTTATTTTAATTGATTTGTAAGAATTTGACTAATTAGGCTTTGATATACTGAAAACTGCCAGGTCCACTTAAATTATATGCCTGGCTCCAGCAGAGATCCCTAGGAGGTCCTAGGTGAATGACCTAGAAGTTCTCAGACCCCAACATTACCTGAGGAATTTTACTTTTAAAATATAGGTTCCGGTATTCTACAACCAGAATCTGATTCTGTACGTCTCAGGTGGGGTCTGGGAATCTCTATTTTTAAGACCTCTGTGTTTGATACTATTGTGGAATCATTCTTCATTTTTTTATGGTATAATGGTTATAATTTGTAAAAGAACCTTTATCTAAAGTACTGAAGAATAAAATGACATGGTATTTGGGATTTGCCTTAAAATAATTCCAGTGAGGGGAAGTGACTAATGGTAGAGGAGAAATAAGTATGTCAATAACTGTTGAAACTTAGTGATGAGTACATTAAGGTACATTATACTATTCCCTCTATTTTCCATATGTTTGAAGTTCTCCAGAATTAAAGGTTTAGAGAAAAATAAGCCTTCTATGGTGATTCTAATGCAGCAGCCTATGAAACTATTCAAGATTCATTGGAATAATTTTGAAGCCAGTTTCCTCTCATGCAGCAAGATCTTAAAAGAAGCGTGTTCATCAAGCACCCTTTATACCACCCTTTGGTGTTCCGGTTTGCAAGGACAGGCAGGGCCCTTCCTGTGGCAAAGTAGAGAGCCCTTTATTTGCAATTAACAAATATCTTCTGGAATTTAAATTTTAACTGATTACAGAGCCTTGACTGCCCTCCCTTTTCCCTCTGATAAGTGACAAGAAAGTAGACTGACATGCCTGTTTGCAATGGAATCAGTAACCTGGAGAAATCTGGAGATAGAATGTAGACAGATTGTAATACTGATTCTTGTGATTTCAAGGTGATAAAAGCCTCTTGCTTTTTGGTCTCAAATTCCTTCAGTCTTCTATAGGAGGATACTTTAAAGCAGCAGTCACCAACCTTTTTGGCAACAGGGACCGGTGCTCCTATGAGAATCTAATGCCTGATGATCTGAGGTGGAGCTGAGAGAGGCAGTGACTCTGGGGAGCAGCTGCAAATACAGATGAAGCTTCGCTCACTTGCCCACTGCTCACCTCCTGCTCTGTGGCCCGGTTCCTAATAGGTTACGGACTGGCACCAATCCACGGCTCAGGGGTTTGGGTCAGGGATTCTTCAGTACTTTAGATAAAGGTCCTTGCTTTAGAAGATAAAACTATAAAGAAAAGCAAGTATGTGATTATCAAAAAAGACAGGATAGTGGCTACCTCCAAGTGAAAGAGGGAGTTACGATGGGAGGGGGCACCTGGAGGGCGTCTGGGGGCTGGTAATGTTCTTTTTCTTGATCTTCGTGCTAGCCACAGGATTTTATTTTACAATAGTTTATTATGCTCTACAACTAGTTTTGTACACTTGTAGTATTAAAAAAATTTTTTTTTTTCATGCCTCAGAACTTGAGAAAGGACTAGAAATGAGAGCAAAAAAGTTAGGGACTGAGCCTTTGAAAAACTCCCAGAAGAAAAAATGGGCAGAGATGTGAGGATTTAAAGCACTCTCATAAAATGAGTTCCACAGAAAGGAAATGCTGGGTTAAATATTCTATCCACCAAAAAATATTAAGAGCTTTAAAGATCAGGCAGTATTCCAAGCATGAACACTTGTCTGAAGTTAAATAGCTTTCTTTATGGCGGGACTGCTCAGATCCCTTAACTTGCTGTGTTCTGAATGTTGAAAAGCTGGGAGACTCCAGTGTTTCTCAAATGTATATGTCCAAGGCATCTCAGACCAAATTAATGCACCACCTCTGATCCGCTCAGCTTCATCTCTCTCCCAGCCCCTTGACCCCTTATTCATGTAAAGCCTTGGTGCTACATTGGCCTTGGTCATTGCCTCATCCCCTAGCACTGGTGGCTGTCTTGGCCTTCCTGGAGTGAGTCTGGGCTCCAGCAGAAGCTCCCTTGTGCCCACTGCAGTAGGAGCAGCAGCAGCTCCAGCACCCACGCTCAACCCAACTGGATCATGGAGATTCTACTGCTCCCACCACCCATAGAGCCAACTGATGGTATGCCTTGTAGCTTAGCTTCCTCAGCAGCTTCCCAAAGGGGCCAAGTGATGCAACCTGGAAGTGCAAGGAGATTAACGCTCTGGGAGACAAACTCCAACCCTGAGACAGGAGATAAAAGGAGCCAGCAGACAAAATTCTCTCTCTTCCCTTTGAGTCAGTTGTGTTCTTCACGACCTGCTAGAAATATCTCACATGGCTGAGCAAGAAACTGGGTCTCTGGTGAAGCTGTGGCCAGCTCAGACATGCTACATGATTTGCTTCCCTCATTTCCTGGCTTGTTTCCTCTTTCCTTCACCTTGGTTTCCCTGGGATTCTACCTAGACTAAATCATTTAAGCTTTGCCTTAGGCTCTGTTTTCTGGAGAACCAAAGAACCAGGAGTTAAACTTGTTTCTTAAAGGTCATCTCAGGGCCAGTTTTCCATGAAGCTCTAATTGGTAAATGCTCATTTAAAAAGCTCCTTCTTTGGTGGGACAGAAGCCCAGCCTTGCCATTACACACTTCCTACCAGGCCTCTGTCCATCCACTCTGAAATCTCCAGAAAAAAAAAAAAAGGGTTGAATGAAACCCCAACTCCTTTGGTAATAACAGGAAGAGAGCGCTGTGCATTTATTAAAACAACATATAACACAAACTCAGTTACCATACCCTATGTCAGGGATAGGCATCAAAATACAGTACATTATCCCTTCCAGGCCTGTGAGCGCTACCCAGGCCTCCTAGAGAAAGGAAGAGGGCAGCAGTATTGACCTGGCTTCCTTCCCCTCTAACGATCTCCAGACACACAATGACCAGACATTATCATACAAAAGTTTCTTTACAAAAAGCACCAAATTGGCATACATATACAAGTATATACAAAAATCACATTTTAAAAATGTACAAAATATTCCATTTTGCACCAATGTAGAAAAGTGTCCTGTGTGATTTGTTTCAAGCACATTTCCAATTCTGGTTCAGTGACTGCTGGACACAGCGGTGGAGGTCCTACCCCTAGTCCCTGCTCTGAGCAAAGAGAAGACACACCTCCCCATTGCCCCTCTAGGGGCCCCGACCCCTCCCACCCTGGGCCTGTCACCAAGGCGGCTGGGCCCATCCCCACCCTCCCCAGTCTCTCCCTCCCAGCATCTAGAGGGTCTCTTCCTCCTCCAGTTCCTTACTGGTGTCCTGAAAGAAAAGATGAAGAAACACAAGGTGAGACAGGGATCCAGGGCTTCCCAAGCTAAAGTGACAAAATTATCAAACTCCAATTCCTGCCTGGCTTCTTCCTCTTTAAACCAAAATAGAATTTAATTGCCAAAACACTATGGATGGCACATCAAATACAAAGCTTGGCCTGAAAAGTAATAACATTAACAAACATGTGCTAATTAGCAACCATGTCCCTCCTATGTGCCAGATACTGTGTTAAATGATTATCTAGTTTACTCTCCACCATAACCTTTTGAGGTCAGCACTGTTATGCCCCCATGCATAGATGGATAGCCCAAGACTCAGAAAGGTTGTGAACTGTCCTAGATCACACCGCTAGTCCACAAGAAAGCTGCGATTCAGAACTCGTAACTAATAGTCTGCCCAGGTGGCAAATTCAGATGCCTACAGGGGCCAGCAGATGACTGACGTGGGTGCAGAAAGCAGGCAGGCTGGCAGTGGTGGGTCTGGGCAAACTGGCAGGTGCATGCCTCATCCAAAGGGGGCAGCCACTGCCCAGTGCCAGCTCTCTGAGACTAGGGAGAAGGGCAAGCCCAGCGTTGTTACACTCTGTTACACTCTGTTTACCTCTGTTACACTGTAATGCTTTCCATATAGAAAGGTCATTTAGATATAAAATGGGAGGTTTTTATTATGAACAGTTTGAGGGGTTTTTGAGGGGGATAAAGGGACTTTACCCTTCAAAGGTTTAAAACACATATTGGGAACATCATCGCACATTGCAATCATCCCCAGTGTCCAGCACAGCTCTGCGCACAATTGGTATCTCATGTTGTTGAATGAATGAATGAACGCATGAAAGAATGCAGGTAGATGGATTTCTTACCTTCTTCCTTCCGCTCTATGGACTCTTCCTCTTCCTGATCTTCTTCTTCAATGTACTCTTCCTCTTCCTCATCTGTGTGTGACAAAGCATAATAGTGTTCGGATAGGCCAGTTTCTTAGAGGAGCTGCTCAAAGGGAAACAGGGCTGGACACAGCACTGATCCAAATCCCTTCCCACGCCCTGTCGGGGTCAATGGGCCCTGCAGTGACATCAGCGGTCCAGGAGGTGAAGAGCTTGCCAAACCCAAGCTGCACAGAAGTGGGCTTCCTTCTTCCTCAGCCCTCCCCTTCCTTGCCACCCCCCTTCCCCACCCCCAAGGGAGAGAGGTTCAAAAGGCTCTTTTCGTTCCAATAGCAGCAGCAGCTTCTATCACCTGACCTGCCTGTGACCAGAGGGGACCTGTGCTTCTGCATAGCTCTCAATCAGACAGATAAACATCATCTATGGAGATGGGACAAGAACACCTGGATTCGCAGGGATCAGAGTCCTTGTCTTGAAGGAATTTGCCCAGCCTTTGGAATCTGCTTGCCTAGCACTTCTTGTTCAGTTTTCCTCATTCCTCAGCCCACAGAGGGGTGCAACCTGTGTCTTCACTTCCCCTGCGGGGGTATCACCTTCAAGCTCTGCTAACAGGGAACATGCCTGTTACCTACGCCCTCTCCCAAGACACTTCCTTAATACTTTGGGGCCTTGAGGGGATCGCCACAGTCAGAGCATTAGTCAAGAGTGTCTAGGGAGAGGCTCGAAAGAATTAGTGTCTCCAGATGACAACAGAAACTACGTCTTAAAGATGCTGTTAAATGTTAGAATTTATAAGCACTTAGTGCCTGGGATATAGAAAGTGCTCAATAAATGGTAGCTGTTGGTTCTCTCTCCATTTCCCTGTGAGGAAACTGAGGCTGAAGGAGATGATGGAAGGCAGTTCGGGTCTACACAATGTCATACTGTTCAATAGCACAATCTACTCTTGAACATCTTAGCTTTGGGAGGGTAACGGTGGAGCAGGTGATCTACAGTAACGGCTAATTTACTGAGCAACGATTATGTCCCAGGCACTGTGCTAGGCTCTGGGCTCATCCAGAAGTTGACTGAATGCATGTGACTGATATCTGGGCATCTTGGCTAGAGTATCTGCCTCTACGCAGGGGTCAGTGAGAGGGAAGCCAATTTCCAGGGGTAAAGCAGGGAATCAGACAAGTGGCACCACCACCTCCTTTACCTGTCCCAAAGTCAATGGCCCTCAGGGTGTCTGCTATGTGCTCTAAGTCCAAAGTAAAGTAGTCCATGTTTTCGAAACCCTGCTCTGTCTTCCCCAGCTGGCAACCCTTGGAGGCTTCCACAATGCTGTAGGGGAGGGAGAGAGAGAGAGAGAGAGCGAGAGCGAGAGCAAGCAAGAGAGAGAAAGAGAGGGAGAGAAAGAGAAAGAGGCTGGATGAGATCTCTGGGGCTCAGTGCAGGGAGAGGCTGTCTTAGCTCCAACTCACACCAGTGCACATGCATGTGCCCACGCCCAGGCCTTGCACCCAGACGCTCCCCTTGGAGCGGTGGAGTAATTCCTCTTCAATCACAAGCAGAATGGATGATCCAAGAAAGCAGGGGTTGCAAAAGCCAAGAGAGCCAGCCTGGGGTGAGACCATCCCAGCAGCTTTAAGGCAAAGGGGGAGACCCACTGGACAGAAGTCAGAGGCCCTGATGGGAGCTAGGGCCTCGGATCACAAGCCCTGTGGAGACACTGACCTTTTGATGAGTTGCTTGGCACTCTATGGGAGGAGAGAGAGAGCAAACGGTTAGGATTGCATTAGGGGTAGCCCAGTAAATCAGCAAAACCAATGACTGGGTGCTTCAGATGGGTACTTGGTACCATTCCCTAGCCCAGTTGTAACCTGCTCCCCACCCTGGGCTGAACAGAACTTGGATCTTTTTCTTCTGTCCGTGGTCTGCACAGGTCTTGCTCATCACCCGAGGCCCCTCCCATTATCCTGGCAGGAAGCTTGGATTTTAGGAGTATCGGTCTAAACACCTTGAGCCCTGAACTCTCCAAGATGAAAATCATCCTAATCACTTTTTATATCCGATGTCTAGCAGAAAGCCTGGCCTACAGTAAGTGCTTAGGAAATTTTTATTGAACTGAACTGTGGAAACTTATAGCTGATCCTTATCTGTCTCCCCCAACAAGCTCTTCTAGGGCAGGGCTGTGTCTCCTTCATCTCTGTCTCCGCCTCAGTGGCTGACCTACAGTAGGTGCTCAATTAATAGTCTCTAGGTTTAGGTAGGGACTGTTACATGCCCATTTTACAGATGAGGAAACTGAACCTCAGGGAGGTTTCAATGACTTGCCTGAGGGCACATGGGTAGTCAGTGGGAGAGCATGACTTAAACCTTAGATAGAACTGTCAAGTTGAAGTGACTCTGCCCATGTCCTCCTAGTCCTGCTCACCAAAAGGAAGATGGCTCCACCGGGCTCATCCAGAGACTGGATGGCTGTCTCCACCAGCTTCGTGGACTTCTCCAGTTGCTCCCGGTACTGCTGGATGAGGGCCTCAATGAAGCTGAGCTTCTCCTCCTGCTCCTGCGTGATCCGCTGTAGCAACTCACTCTTCTTCTCATCCAGGATGGCATACAGCACGTCAAACTTCTGGCTCAGCTCTTCCTTCACCTGGTGACTGTTCTCCTGTGGACAGATATCTAGGGGTCACATCCTGTGGGGTCTTCCTCCCCATAATTCCTTCCTGGAATGGGCATGCTAGGAACAAAGACTCTAAAGCTGGAAGAGGTCTTACTACATCGCCATTTTACAGAAGACGAAATGAAGGCTCAGCATGAAGAAGGCACTTGCTACACCCAGCTACTTAGTACATGTTTGGAGTCTGGCATCATGGAAAGCAACTCCCTTCCTCAAAACTAGAGATTCCATGGTCAAAAGGGATAATATATATTCTGGGCTTCCTGTGTGTC